GCACTACAGGCACACCACTGTGTAAAGATGGGCATACCCTTTCATTGTCCTCCATATGATAGTGGTCTCATAATATTATCCTATATTAAGAAAACAGAGGCAGGGGAGATGGCTCAGTGGAATAAGTGCTTCCCTGGCAAGCACAAGGGTCTGAGTTCAATCCCCGGTTCTGCCAAAAAAAAAAAAAGTAAAATCAGGGGCTGGTGAGATGGCTCAGTGGTCTCAAGCACCTACTTAGAACAAGCTTAGCAAAGCACAGGGACCGCGGTTCGATCCCCAGCACCACATGCCAGCCAGCCCTGCCCCCTGGTGGGCTGAGCTGGCCACAAAAAAAATAAATAAATAAACACTCTATATAAAAAAAGAAAAAAAAGAAAACAGGGGGGCCTGCCCATTAGCTCAGGTGTTTAAGTGCCTGCTGAAACCAAGCAGCCAGGCTCAAGCGATGCTGTGGCTCGATTCCCTCATCCTCAAGCCAAACCAGACTGGCCCCAAAGGCATCTTGAGTGGCCCCCCCAAAAAGAAAGAAAAAGAGAACAGGGGCCAGGGAGATAGCTCAGTAGAATAAGTGCTTGCCTGATAAGTGCAAGGGTGAGTTCAATCCCCGGTTCTGCAAAAAAAAAAAAAAAAAAGAGGACAAGGCTGGGGACATAGCTCAGATACATAAGCACCTGCTTGGAAAGTATAAGGTCCTGAGTTCAATCCCTGCTATGTATAAATAAATAAATAAATAAATAAATAAATAAATAAATAAATTTCAGTCGTTCTTTTCATGTGAACTTTTTAAATTGTATGCACTGTATTATCAAATACATTCCCAACAGCTGGGCATGATGGTGCATACCTGTAATCTCAGCACTCAGGAGACTGACACAGGAGGACTGTTGCAAGTTCAAGACCAGCCTGGGCTATAAAGTGAGCTCAAGACCAGCCTGAACTGCAGAGTGAGACCCTGTCTCAAAAAGACAAAAAAATTAAAGTGCCTGCAAACAGGCACAGGGGCCAGGGGTTCAATTCCCGAACCTGCTGGGCCAGCCCTTCCCCCTGGGTGCGTTGAGCCGTAATTGAGACTGGGCATAGTAGCACACCCCTGTAATCCCAGCTTGTGGGAGGCTGTAAATAGGTAGATCACTATGGATCTAGTAATGAGATCCTGAACACCCTGTAGACCCTTCCCTTAAAA